CACTATCTTCCCTATTGCGTGTTATGGTTTTTGTCTTGTTGGCACTCTACGCTCTCAAAGTACCATTTCTAAATTCTCTTTCTATTTTCCCAGTTTTCAGTCCACAGATGATCTAAACGTCTGTCGCGTGCACACTGCTGTAATTAAACACGTAAGCAATCACAAGTGTTGTTTTGGGAGGAGATGGTTTTGGCTGGGCTCCTATGGCACTTCCTGTCTTTTGAATGGCTCCATACGCCACTGTTTCTCTCACAGCTGTTCGGCAGATGCCAAAACTCTTAGAAAAAACACTTCTTATAAGATACAGTAAATACAAGTATACAGTAACACACAACAATTTTTTTCTTTGCATCGTTAAGTCCATAAGTAACAGTCTATAAAAATATACTATTATCATAATACACATTTATTTACAATTAAAAGGCCATTCAAAACAAAAACATAAATATTACAAATTATTACTTAAAAACTTTATAAAAACATTTGAACCAAAAAATCCGCAATTTGGGAATTTATTATTTTGAATGTATCCAAAAAACAAACATTTGTACTAGACATTGAATAGAAAAAGAAAGATATCATTATAAAAGGGTTGGTCTCTTGTAGGCATTGATCTTATATTAGAATGGCCACAGTATTCCCAAAGCTTGGCACAGACAGTGTTCGGTCTCACTGTGTGGGCGTAATGGCTTCTCTCCATTACAAAGTTTGACACTTATTTTTTGCAGTTTCAACACGACTGGGAAGACCAGCACTTCACAAGGGTGCATAATATGTTCGAACGCAACATATTTAGACTTTGTTTTGCATTAAAATAACTGTTCAGAACTAGCATAAGGTTCACTCAATACTTGAAATCAAAACATGTCAACTACAACAGCCAAACGCTCAAGAGTTTAAAGGTTCTATATTACGCAAAATGTACTCTTGTGAGCTGTTGCCTCATCAAAAACATACCTGGAGTTGCTTTTTGTTTTGTTCACACATGTTTTGTTCAGTAAAGATGCAGGATGGAAATTATCCAAATGATTCTAGTGAAGGTATAAGTTAAAAAACACAGTGGAGCACTTCCTGTATTGCCACATGACATGACAATGTGCAACAGGGTTATGTGTTAAACACTGTGTGAGCATATAATGTTATAATCTTGATGAGGAAACAACATTACAACACAGATCAGCAAATAACGTAATATGAGCACTTTAATTTTTGCTATTAGCCATTTTGTTGATTTTTTTATGCATAGTCCTCCCAACTGTCTGTATACTCTACTTTTATGTAAACCATGTGTATTAGTTACTTTTGATCCCTGTTTCCATCTTAACTTTACATTTTAAAAGCACACTGTGTAACTTTTCTGGTGGAGGACCCAACACTTGCTTTTCTTCATGGAGATGTTATTGCTTTGCCTGCATGTTCCAGCAGCAGGTGAGACCACAAGACCAAGCTACAGGTCAGATCTGCGGTGAGGCAACCCTCCTCACAGCAATTATGCATGTTTTTTAAGGAATATATGTAAACACATTTCAACTAATACATGTAAGCTTGATTAGTTTCATGCCGTAATGTGGAATATTCCAGGTGAAAACATAAAACCACCACCAGAAGTTACAGAGTGCATCTTTAAAGCAGGATGTCACTACTTGATTAGAAATGACATCACAATTATAAAACTATTACAACTTCTAATTGTGGCTTGTTAAAACTGCATTTGGCAAGTAACTTTTGAACACTAGTGAGCAAACAAAGTGAATTTCAAGGCCTACATATGTTATTATTTCACATTTCACATCATCACTTCATTTGTGTTTATAGTGAATAGTATGAGACCTTTGTTTTTGGCACATCCTGCTCACACCTGGTGCAGAAACACAATAGCACTGTCTGAATATTGCTAACATCGACCAGTATTGTGAATTGCATTGTACGGCCCTAACCCTGCAGCTGTTGCAATGCTGTATTAAAGGGTCCACCAGGGGGCAGGATCACACAAGACAGTACATCAATGAATCCTTAAAGGTCCTATATTACACACAGTTTATTCTTGTGAGCTTTAAGCCATGTTATAATGTTGTAACCTTGTGTTTTGCTTCATTCACACGTTTGCGTAAACCTGCATTATTAGTCGGTCTCCAGCTCAAAACGCTCTCTGTTCCACCTTATGATGTAAGAAGAAGAGTTAGTTTTCAAATTTCAAAAGGGCAGATTTGCACATTTTTACCTTTTGATCAACAGAGATTGGCAATTCCAGGGCTGAATCATTCAAGTGATACTAGTGAAAGTGTATGGAGTATAAAAACACAGAAGGTGGAGCACAGTATTTTCTGTGTGAAAGAAGAACTCAACCTAAATAAGCAAAGTTTGTGTGTTAATCATGTGTGAAGGAAACAAATCAACTCCATGTATCATTCGTTCCTTCGTGTTTCAAAGTAAAACAAAACAAAGAAAAAAGAAAAAAGAAAAACCAAAACAACAATAAAAAAATTATTTGTCTCCAAAACCAAAATGAAAAAATGGATAACAATTTGTTTTTACAGTTCCCAATTTTCAGTTTAAATTACTTTAATTTTGTATTTTTGACAGTAAAGTCACATCTGTGAATTCTGAAGAAAACGTAATCATACATTTTCATTTCGTTATTGTAATTCTTGATGTCGTAACTTTTCAATTTGTATGAGGAAAAAGTACACACAATATATTTTATGTACAACTGGATTTATTCGAGAGTTTATGAATATTTATTTTAAGCTCAGCTACAGCCAAATATGCACAGATTTCCCAAATGGATTTCTATCCTATGCACATATAAATCTATATTTTTGGAAACAGTGTTATTTTGTTAACATGATCACCTAAAATGTTAGACAAGTGCAGTTTAAGTCAGGAAAAAGGAAAACGGACGTTATCCGTTTTTCCATTATTCATTTAAATACAAAATCAAAAACTGAAACCTTCCCCCCCAAAAAAAACAAATCGTTATATTTTTTTCATTTTGATTTTGGAGACAAATAATGAAGAAAATTGTTGTTTTTCCATTTTTGTATTTTTGGTTTTATTTTGAAAAAAGAATGAACGAATCATACGCGGATTAAACCAAAACTCCAGGTATGTTTTTTGATGAGAAAACAACATTATAACATAGATCAGAAAGTAGTGTAATATGGGACCTTTAAGCATCTCCTGAAAATTTTAACAGAAATTTGATATTTAATAGACCACATAAGCGCTGGTTATATGTTAAGTATAAGTCACATAAGCACAAACCAGTGGTCAAATACAAAGTAGAAAAGGAAACAGCCTCCAGGATGGTGACGCCCTCTTCTGGACAGTATCGCTTTGAGCGCTGCAATTTCATTACATTTTCCCCATTAAAGCATTTTGTTGCCATGTTATATGATACATGAAGTCACTGCTTATGGGCAGTTAGATACCGGGGCATAAGTATGACGTAAAATTATATTGCTTTTTACATTAAGGGCTTTCTTCATTCAAATGTCACTGCTTTTCCCATAATGCTGTTGAGTGCGTGTGACTGTCTCTTTCTGGCAAATGGGCTATGACTAATTGGCTATCATTAATTTCAAAGGAGTTCATATGTTTGCAAAGCTTGAAATAACAGACTAAACATGGCGATAATCAGAGGTGGGTAGAGCGGCCAGAATCCATTTGTTCAAAATCACTGTTCTGTCAAATAGTCAATTAGAGAAGTCAATTACTAAGTCGTTTAAAATGTATAACTTCAGACTGGGAGTGAATGGAAGTCTACACTGTAATAAGATCCAAACTATATTGAATCTGATGTATTATTTAAAGGTGCATTGTGTGACTTTTTTGGTGCTTGCTTTGTCTGAAATGTTTCACAGTATGGTATTAAACCTTTCTATCTTCATGGAGATCAAAAAAGGCCAAGTTACAGGTCAGATCTGTGGAGAGGCGACACTGCTCACACTCAAAATGCCTGTTCTTCTAGGTATTTTTGAGCTATAAAACCACTTGTAATTGAATAAATGTAAGGTACAGCTGTTTAAAGTCATAATATGGAACATTACAGGCAGAGCAATGACATATCCATGGAAACAAGCAGGTGACCGACCCCCAGTCAACCTTTAAAGGCCAAAATATAGTTCTGCGTCGACTCAACGCACACTGCCGCCGTTGCCTTGTTGCCGTCATTTTAGATTTATGGATCTGCGTCAAGATTTATGCGCCGCAAAAAAATTTACAGACATAACACTAGGAGGCTCGGATTTTAAAATGCTGTTCGTGTACAAAATGAAGTGGGAAAGTAGAGTACCAGAAATGTAGCAAAGTGAATGCAGAGAGGACCAATCACAGCCCTTATTGTCTGCGTCGCTTTCTTTTGCCGTCTGCGTCGGTTCAACACGTAGTTACAAAATTTCGGAGGTGCACGTTGGTCGAAGCACACGATCTGCGAAGGGGGTTCAAGGCGACGCAGACTCTTTGCATTGCGACGCAGACGATTCGACACACAACCATAAAGTGGGCTTAAAGGTGCACTATGTAACTTCCCTGCTTCATACCATGGAGATGTCTTGCTTTGAATGCAATGTTCCACAGCATGGCAATATTCACATACTTATATCCATAACGACAAGCTGCAAGTTACAGGTCAGATCTGTGAAGAGTTAACTACGCTCGCAATAAGAAGTTTTTCCAAATATGTACATTTAAAGCCTTACTGTGGAACATTCATCGTGCACCTTGAACATTGTATTGCCCCTTTAGGAAAAGTGTCTTCTGCATTTGACCGATCTTTCATTGAGAGAGAGAGAAAACATATTCTGGCTACCCACCCTGAATCATTTTCTTAAAGGGCTTGAAGGCAAAAAAGCAAAACAGTTCATAATCAATTCAATACATTTTCATACACCACAGTAACATGGACACACTTAGGCTCCAGCTTACAGGATTCAATAGGCACTGTGGTTTAAAGAGTCCCACTTTTCTTATCTCATATGTACAAGTCTTTTACAGTCCATTCAAATCCACACAGACGGCTTCCCTTCTGCCGATTTACTACTACTACTATTACTACTACTGCATCCGCCACTGCTGCCCCCTTTACTAGTGTGTTTGAGTCTATGTTTTTTGTCTTTCGGGGCCTGGGTTTGGGGCTGCGGTTGTGCCTGGATAATGATATTGCTTTGGGGTTTATCGTCCTGGCTGTCCCCCGCCTGCTCTGGTTCCTCCTCCCCGGCTTGGTGCTGCTGGCTGTAGGCCTGTATAGCAGCTTCCAGTTGCTCGTGGGCGTGCTGGATCATGTCTTTGTTCAGCCCCACCCGGGACCCCCCTGTACTCGGAAAATTGTCCTCATTGCTCCCGAACTGTTGCTGCTCCTCTTGGGCGATGTTGGCGCGGTTTTGTTTGCACGCCATTTTAGCGTTGCTCAAGTCCGTGTAGGGCATCTGTTCCGGCTTTACCACTATGTTGTAGCCGGGGGGAGCCGACGGGGTGTTCCAGGAAAAGGGGTAACCGACGTAATCAGCTGGTCCGTCCCCGCCTACGCCCGCGTCTGATCCAGTTTCAGGACCAGGAACGCCGACCGAACCATCGACGTTTGTATTTGAACCCAAGAGGCCCAACTGGTACTCATCTTCTGGTGGTGGGGTACGCCGTTTACGGATAATATCGCAAATCGATCCGATGCCTAAATGTAGCATCTCCCAAACGTTTAAAGTGAGGCAGAGGATGGTAACGCCGTACATGATCCGAAGGAAGATTGTTTTCTCAGTTGGACGAGATACGAAACAATCAACGCTATGCGGACAGGGGTTACCGGAGCACACGAAAATTGGCTTCACCCTGAAACCGTAGAGTAGATACTGACCTGCAAGAAAGCCAGCCTCTAGAACTGTCCTGGTCACAAGTTGAAGAACGTAAACTCGCATCAAACCTTCATCTCTGATTCTCCTTCGACCGTCATGGCGGATTTTGGGTCTGGGAGTTGGCTGTAAAGGGTCTCTAGGTCTTTTGGGAGGTTCGATCTCTGGTACTTCATAGATCATTGGGTCATCTTCTTGATCTTCTTCTGTCTCCTCTATACCGCGATGCTGTCTCGCCCCAAAACAAATCTTCCTCGGCTTCCTGTGCGTGTAACCCCCTGCGACCCTAACTGCCGTTGCCCCGCTCCCTCCTTTCGCCTCTTCCAATCTCGCTATCTTGTTAATGGCGTACCCCATGTAGATGAGCGAAGGCATAGCAACCAAGATGATCTGGAAGACCCAAAAGCGTACATGTGACAGGGGGGCAAAAGCGTCGTAACACACATTTTCGCAGCCCGGTTGCCCCGAGTTACACACAAACTTGCTCTGCTCGTCGTAGTAGATGGACTCTCCCCCGACCGCGGTGAGGACGATGCGGAAGACAATGAGCACGGTGAGCCACAGCTTCCCTACGAAGGTGGAGTGGTTGTGGATTTCCTCCAGCAGTCGCGTGAGGAAGCTCCAGCTCATGGTGTCGCTGGACAGTGGGGCAGACAGTGTCCCTCTCTCACCTGCTCACAGACTCTGCACACAAAAAACAAGAGGGAGAGGAGGTTATGATGAGATGTGCAATGTTACATTTTTTTACACTCATAAGAACAAGAAAAAGCACAACACACAACAATAGGCAAAACTAGAAAAGTAGGGCGATGTCGTTTGGCAAATTGAATTCTATTAGAGAGAAGAGGGAGAGGAGGGTAGAGAGATGCACTGAAGTTTGTTTTAAGTTTGTTGTAGCATCACTACTTCCTGTCCAGTTTTATCTGAATTAAATTTTTGCCGAGTTGCACTAAAATGAATAAGTATTTAAAGATCAGGCAGTGGACAGGAAGCTACTGGTGGACGTCACTGACAACATGTTGAAGGTACACAAACAAAACACATACTTCAGCGGAGGACACCTCTGTGTTTAGAAAGATGTTTATAATGTTAATGCTAATATTGAAGTATGATAAATGATAAAGTATTCTACATATAAAAATATTTGGGGAGTCTTTGTTATCAAATTGAATTGTAATAGATTGTTTATTTAATATTTTATGATTTTAATCTGCTGCTGTGCTCAGAGCCTGTTAGGGCTGAGGGAAAACTGAATCGTGATCTCTTCCCTGTGATGATCTACTATTTCAGTCAGATCGTGATTCTCTATTTCTCTCTTTAATGCAGATGTCAGCTCAAATTGCTGGGTTTCAGATGATATCACAAGATTCTATTAGTCAGTAATTTAATTTAATACAGATGGGGCCAGGTAAAATAAATATGTTTTTTAAAATATATATATCGAGTTGCACAGTCTAGTCACTACTAGAAATGACCAACATTTCTAAATTTACCTAGATATTAACTGGATTTTTTAAAATGTAAAATGCAATCTAGAAACTGATATATAGACAACGTAGGCAGATGTTTTTGTTATTCCAGCAGCCAGTGATAAAACATGCAACAGCCTACACAATCAGATTAGGGTTTATGAATGTAGATGCACAGTGATTTGCATGGGCGGTGGAGATGTCTGATTTGATCTGGTGGGACACAAGGACAAATGTTAATAGTAAAAAGGTGCTAGATATGTTTCACCACTCATCCAAGTAGCTTCTTCAGTTCTGACAGGGTTCTCACTGCCTTAAATATTGGTCTGAATTGTGAAAAGCACTTACAGACTCATCATGGTGAATACTTAAAATGCTTGGAATGCATAAGGTTAGTGAGGAATAACTTTGGACCACTGCAAACTGTTTGAAATGAACTACTGGTAGTTCTGTTTTTCACATTTTTAAAATGGTAAAAATCAGGGACAGGATCTTTAAGTGTCACTCTATCACCTGAGTCATATTTTACATAATTATGCATAATCATAATCAAACCATAATATTTTTAGATCCGCATCTTCTCATCATTAAATAACTCACAATACACTCAGAAGGCTCATGTAAGGTTGCTCAAGTTCAAGTTTTGGGGGAATTATAGAAGTATACAGAGCTCTGAAAGGATGTTGGTATTAAGAAACCACGGCACAGCTCCGAGATGAAGGCGCAATAATCCAAAAGTGCAGTTTTCCAGCCGCACACACATTTATTTAACTCTTCTCATCTCTTTCAGCTGAAATAAATCCTCTTAGTGATCCTGCTTCTGTGAGAGGTGCATTTTCGGGGATTGGAGGAGCGTGACTTGCTTGTTTTGGTTCAGAGGTGTAGCCCCAAATAGCAAAGGACTCGCCAAAATAAAGTTATCAGTCATGTATATTTATTCAGCATATTTATTCAGCGTCACTAAAACTGTCAAATGTAAAAAATAAAGCTCCTATATAATGCGAAATTGACTCCTGAGATGTTGTTACTTTCTCAAAATACTCGGAGTTGCGTTTTGTTTCATCCACGCATGTTTGAGTAACTCTGCATTATTAGTCTGTCTCTGTTCCACTTTGTGATGTCATGAAGCAGTAGTTTTCAAGTTAATAGTTCCTTTTACCATTTTTGTTTCATAGAGATTATCAGTTCTAGGGCTGAAAGTATCCAGATGATTCTAGTGAAGGTGTATGGAGTTTAAAAACATGACATCACAAGGTGGTGTGAGTGAAAAGAACCAAAATATGCAGGGTTTTTGTGTTAAACATGTGTAAATGAAACAAAACCAACTCTAGGTATATTTATGATGAGGAAACAACATTATAACACATATCAGGAAGTAAAGTAATTTGGGCCCTTTAAATAAAAAGTTGCAAAAAAGGTAAAATATATAAGATTCTGCACTTTTTTTAAAATTAACTTTTAATTTATGAAGCTGCTGAGCTCTTAATGTGTGTGATTTGATAAAGGATATAATATTCATCCCTGAAGAAAACAATTTTACGTTCAATTATCTTAAATTAATGTTACAAGATGGTGCCAAAGACAAAGTAGAAATGTCTTACAATTTAGAACCCCAATTTTACAGCCCTAAATTGCTCTGTAAACAAAATAGAAATATAAACGATTCAAAAGCAATTAAATAATATCTGCACCTCACATTTTGAGCTTGCCTGATAAAGTGTTCAGTTATGACTACAGTGACTGAACACTTGGGTACATTTTTGGAGCAGGGGCATTTTTCAGATGTGGGTTAGCTCCATGCTCCAGGCTTTTCTCACCAGACCTTCTCCATCAGACCAGCCCGAGCAGCAGGTGTCCGGTCACAGCCCGATGGAGCGGAGGCCAGTATTAACCCGAGCACTGGAGCTGAACCCAAACACTGCTGCTGTCCCACAAGGGTGACTATGGGCCAAAACAAATGAAGCCACCAACTCATGAAGACTGCATATGACATGGTCTACTCTGCCAATGTCCAGACATAAAAACTAGATTAGATTAGGGATATTATGATGTGAAAACAGTGAAGAGTTTTATATATAGCTTCTTTGGCTCAAATATAAAATGCCAAATGCAATTGCCTGGAACTGCCAATTTCTACTGGGCTAAAGGCAGAGACCAAGTCGTCATGTTGCAAGTCTCAAGTAAGTCTCAAGTCTTTGACCTCAAGTCCAAATCAAGTCCCAAGTCAAATACAGGCAAGTCCAAGGCGAGTCTCGAGTCACTAGCCCACAAGTCCAAGTCAAGTCCAAGTTGTCTGCTTTGACCTTCAAGTCATTTAAAGTCTTTAAACCAAAGTACCAAATACAGCTTACATTTTTGCAATTTATATGATTTTTAAACTAAACTGTACTTATAAAGTAATAGTATATTTATATATGAGTATTTATAGAGTCTATAAGAGTTGTATAAATACAAAGTTTTCCTTTTTCAATGACTTGACAAGATCTTAGAGTGAATCATTACAGTCAAAATAAAAAATAAAAAATCTGATTTAAAAGTGCTTCTCAAATATTCTCAAGTAACAGGCCTCAAGTCTGAGTCAAGTCCCAAGTCTTACTCCATTTTATCAAATCAAATCTCAAGTCCTAAAAATAGTGACTCAAGTCTAACTCGAGTCCAAGTCATGAACCGCAAGTCCCCACCTCTGGCTAAAGGTAAAGGGAAGCTGTTAACTTGAAAACTGCTGCTTCATGACAAGGTAGAACAGAGTATTTTGAGTTCTGGAGATGTAGACAAACTAAAGGATTACTGGATTACTCAAATATGTGTGAATGAAACAAAGCACACCTCCAGGTATGTTTTTGATGAGGTAACAATATTCTAATATGGCATAAAACTAACAAGAGTCAATTTAGCATAATATAGAATCTTCAAATATGGTTTCAGTACAATTTTATATATATTTTTTGATCTTTCAGCCTTATTTTAACAGCTCAGATGGAAAAGTAATGTCTTGCTTCATATATCCATCTACTACTATTTAAAAGGCCAACTTTAACTTTCTGATCTTTTATAATGTTTCCTCATCAAAAACATAACTGGGGTTGTGTTTTGTTTTATTCACACACAAACCCTGCATATTTCTGCCTCTCTCAAACAGAAAACACTCCACCTTGTGATGTCATGTGGTAATACAGCAACTGCTCTGCTGTGTTTTTAAACTCCATACACCTTCACTAGAATCATCTTGGTAATTTCAACCCTGGAACAGTAGGCTCTTTATTCAACTGAACAATTTAATATGATGGAAAAACTCTCTCTCTCTGAATGTTTACATTTTAGGTCCCTAAAAAATAAATATTATATAAAGGCATTTATACAGTCTCTAACCGGTTATAATAATATTTTTCGGTCCTGATACTAAAATCGATACCTGCTATTAACCGATACCAGTGTAGAGATGGAAAAATGGCACTTACTTCTTTAAAACACTGTTAACTCATCACAAGAAAGCTGTGTTATGCATCTGTTATTTCTGCTTCAAATAACTCTCAGCTTTGAATGAATAAAAGTTCAAACATAATGAGATATTCTAGACCAAAATCAGCCTGTAAATATTCTTATTACAGCTAAGTTTTCAACACCTGCACTGATATCTAATACCAGTATCACTTCATCCCTATCTGTAACTCTAAATTTGTCCTTATACCAAGCCCTTTGTTAGCCTTACACTGTACGCGACTGTTCTGAATCTGACGCAGTCCTGTTTTGTGTCTGCAGTGGGACAGGGAGGGCTGGGCTTGTTTTGAGTTTGCTATGAAACATGTGTCCCCTATTGATCATCTTGACCAAATATGGGCATAGCCGGGCTGGAGGATGTCAGGAATCCTCTGTACAGAATTCCCCACAATGGCACTTTAAGCAGCAGTGTCCCCTCTGCAGCTGTGGTCTATATGTGTGAGTAAGCAGCCACACTCAAATGTTCATTGACTTTTCTCTCATTGCGTCACTTAATGATTTTACATAATCACTATATTACACAGTTGTCCTTTAGCTAGTCGTGCTAACTGATTTCACATATGAGGTGACTGTGCAGATGTGAAGTGGCTTTTTTAAACAATGCAAGAACAGAGCTGTGGACATGACACACGCGATGCCATGAAACTATTCTGAAATGATCGTTGTACTCATAAGATTCATATTTTTATGTACATCTGCTACATTGACAGTCACTTA